GCGCATCAGTGAGTTTGCAGCCGCTACGCAGGGGGAGGGGGGAGAGGGCTGAAGCAGAAACTACTGCTGTTAAAAGAAATGTGTTTAACTTTGAAAATGTGGGCGCAATTTTAATTGTCAAAAACTCCAGCGAACCATTAGTTCATTTTGCTCAAATAGAAATTGAGGCCTGCCTCTAATTCTGGTCCTCCTTCCAATAAAGGCCTGGAGCTTGATGAGCTTATAGGTTCATCCTATATTTGGGTCCATACGGTAGTTAGAAACTGGATCTGTTTTTGGGCTCCCTCTGGGCGTGTCAGTTGTGGACTTTCAGGGGAGCCGCCAACCTTTCAGGGGAGTCTAGCTCCCCCTAGTTCCACGGTAATGTGAACCCTGAAGTAGGTGCAGGTCACTCAGATGAGATATTGCCTAAAAAGCATGGTAAACTTTACAACAAGGGTCCCTTTATTAACATTTGTTACTGTGTTATTAAGCATTAACTAACAAAGTGTTATTTTATTTATGTTCTCTGTATTTTTAGCTATTAAGTGTCTGAGTAGGCCAAAGGGCTGGGTCTGCTTAGCAGTTGATCACATAATAAGTCTAAGCAGTTCTTAATACTTTAATAGTTATTAATACTTAATAATGCACTAAGTAATGTTAATAAAGGGATCCTTATTGTAAAGTGTGACCAAAAACACAAAGCCAGAGTTGTTCCGTTCACATATCTTTTTACCTACTCATCTTCCAGTTTCCCCTAACGAACACTGTATGCATCGCCTCCTTCAGAGAGCTGGACCTCTTCTCCTCACACATAAATCATGCACACCAGCTGCCACTTTGTGGTGTGTTGAAGTGTTATTTTTTTTTGCCATGAAACATGCGTCAAAGAGGACACACAGTAGGGGGTGTGTTGGTACCTTCAGTTTGATGAAAAACAGACCGTGAAAAGACAAAATGAAATAAAAAAAAAGATTGAAACGAGAGCTGCTTTCTGGGCAAATACATGAAACATTTTTGTTAACCATAAGTTGTGCATATGTTCAATAGCTGATCACCATCGTTAAAATAAACAAATAAATAAAGCAAACAGGCCTAGAAAAGTAAATGTTTTTCCAGCTTTAAGTTAGCAAACAGTAGCCGCCACACGCTCGTACCATGCAGACCTAGAAGCTGCAGCAGCAGAGCTCGAGTGTATTTTCACAGAGTAATGATGCATGTAATTGCAGCTGAATGCAACTGTTCTGTAGAAGGAAGAATTTCTTGCAACTTCTCTTAAAAGTAACATCATTTTACTTCAAGACTGTTAAGAATTCATCTGCTAGGTGGAAAACATTTACTTGTTGCAGGAAAAACTGTAGGTCAAAAGTAGAGGTGGGAAAAATGATCGATTCTAAGATGCATCGCGATTCAGCCGAGCACGATTCCGCATCGATGCAGCAACGTGACATAATGAGATTCTCTCCCTTTGTCGGGGGTCGGCAACCGCGGCTCTGGAGCCGCATGCGGCTCTTCCATCCATCTGATGCGGCTCTCTGTGCTTGTAAAATAATGAATGGATATTTAAATAAAAAGCTTTATATTTTACTGCATTAATTTTACATCTGTATGCCAATTCTAAATGTAAAGATTGTCTGCGTAAACCTGAACATGTCCAACCCGGTCTTACTGTGAGACCGGGTTGACGGGTCACGCTTGTGCGTAATCATAAAGGCGCATTCTGAGCTGACGAGGACGTGAGATTCTGGGATTCTCCTCAGACGGCTCCTGGATGTGTCGCCACATTGGAGACAGGAACAAGCGCTATTCAGCCAAAGTTTCATAATCAGGGAACATTTTCTAAGTGACACGTCTCGCTTCAGTCGGAGGAATCTTCCTGCATGTGCTTTCTGTGACGTGCTCCAAGCCCCTCTCCACAACTTCAGCTCGCTGTGCGCCGTACGTACGCGCTGACAGCGAGCTGCGCTGAGCTCAGTGTCAAGCTCAGATGGGAATCATTTCTGAAGTGATTTAGCTACATCTGCGCGAAATGATTAAAGTGTCAGTTCGTCTGCATGCGTCGGGGTAATTCTTTCTATTCTTTCTCCGTCAAAATAAACGGTTAAATACGGGAACTGTCCGGTCCACACAACACAAGCCCTGCTTTTAACTGTTCTGTTTTCTTGTGAAAATTGTTGCAAAGAGATATAATTTAACTTGATTAACACCAGAGGCAGGCGCACTGCGCCGTTATCTCCGTCACTGTAAATGAGGTAAAAACTAAATGATCGGATCCTTTTCTGACCTTCCCCACCTACAAAGTTTAATTACAACAATCAAACGTGACAGAGCCTGGATTTGTATTCTGAACAGTCTAAACATGTTTTAAAAAGAAACGTATGACAAAAGTGGCACCTGCTCAGTAAAACCATCAACAGGGTGAAAAATATCTAAATATTGTAGCAGAGACGGGCTACAACTTCTGGATCCACTTTATATAAATCGTTTTATTGATTATCGTCTTATGAAAGATAACTTTGACGTACACGAGCGACCGGTACCGGCTGCTGTCACCTGTTGTGAGCAGCTCTCTGCTGTCTGAGGGTAGGCCCCGCCCACAACGCAGCGGCTGCTGTGGCTCCCAGTGTTTTCTTTACTGTGGGAAACGGGTATTAATGGCTCTTTGATGGGAACAGGTTGCCGACCCCTGGTCTATGTCTATGCGAGGACAATAAAGTTTTGAGGTTTTATAATTACTTCTGGGGGCAGAGTTGCAATGACATGCGCACTGCGTTGCCCTAGCGACAATTTAAAACAGAAAAGGCGGACAGGGGTACAGGGCCAACATTACCAGTAATCAAAGATGTACCTGTTACATTTAAATCGGATGTCTGGGCTAATTTCGGTTTTGGGATCCTGGATGTGAAAGAATCACTTAACACAGTATTTGTTTACTATGTTTAAGTTCAGTAATATTCTATCTTAAAGCTGCTCTACCGAAAACATTATTTCTTGAATTATTTAAGTAACACACACACACACACACACACACACACACACACACACACACACAGCCTGAAGCAGCACACTTTAAACATTATTGCTCACTATAGTGAATAGATGAATGTTCTGTTTTTCAGGGATTTCGAGATCAAAAAGAAATTGAAAACTATTCTACTGCTTTTATTAAGTAATGAAAATTTTTGTGTGAAGAATCGTGATGCATTTCAGACTCAAATCGAATCGTTAGGCAGATAATCGGAATCGGATCGAATCGTGAGGCAGGTAGAGATGCACACCACTAGTCAAAAGTAACCTAGTGGTTAAGACTTTGTTGCCCTTTATTTATTTTCTCTGTTTCATTTCTTTGCTCAGTGTGGCTGCTGGTCTTTGAAAGGTTGAGGTAGAAGTAAGGAACACCCAAACCCAAATCCCATTGTCTGCTTACTGTTAGCTAGCTCTCTGATGTTTCTCTACCTTTAACCCCATCCCAGTGACATTTGTACCTATTATGTTGTTTAGTTGTCATCTCATCTTTTCCCATTTTACTCAACGACTCTTGTCTGCGTACGAACATTAGTCAATTAGAAACGTTTTCTGAGGACAGTGGGTTGTGGATGATCTTTGGCTGGAAGCAGCTCCTGAGGTCCCTGGCTGAACCAGATAGCAGGAGATTGTAAAGCGCAGGGGTCTCATTTATAAAACATTCAATAGAATCCTTACTAAAACCGTACTTGAGCTCAGCAAAAAAATGTACTTACGCCAAGCAGGTGTGTGATCTATCAAACATGGAGGACGCACAGCTGCACGCAATCTCCGCTTCATGAATCAGAAACTATCTAGAAAGGTTCTTAGCTGCTTTTTAGTCACACCCCGCCCTCACCACGCCCACTTACTGCCATAAATAGTTCATGCAAAGTGCCTTGTGGATCTCATGCATATACATAAGTCGGCTGTTGCAGCACTCTGCCTATGACGATGGCAACCGTAGATCAAGGCAGACCAAGGAAGCGCAATTACACAGAAGCAGAAGTTGAGGTACCTGTGGGTGAGGTGGAGAAATGACAGGAAGTGCTTTTGCAAAACACATAAGAGAAAATCCACGGAGTGGCACAGCGTTGCTGAAGCCGTCAATGTTGTGTTCTTCAGAGAGATCTGTGGCGGATATAAAAAAAAAAAAAGGTCCAATCGGGATTTGATCCCCAGACTCCTTGGTGAAAGTCACGCGTGCTAACCAGTCACCCGAACAGAGACCTCCCCTGTCCAAGTAGCCAGGTCACATGATCAACCCGGTCACAGTGACGGGACACACACACACACACACACACACACTGTCACAGACGCATGATGTTCTGTCTCAATATGTCCCCCTGCTGATATTCTGCATTCTGTATTCTGCGCTTCAGGCTGTGTGTGTGTGTGTGTGTGTGTGTGTGTGTGTGTGTGGCCTTAGCATCAGCAGCTCTGCTGTGTTTATTAATGGAGTCTGTCCGGGAGGCGTCGTTGACATTAATTATTATCAAGCGAACGTCTTGGGCGGATTGAGAACATCGTGAGCCTCATCTTCCTTCGGTGTTCGCTCTTATTGAGCTGACCATCATCAGGCCTTGTAATCTGAGAGCGAGCCTCGTAACAACTCGCTGCCTCATCTGAACTACGATGTGGGAATTAAACGATCTCCATGTAATGAAAACATGGACTCCACAACAATAGCTGGTGCTGTGGAGGCAGAGAGCGTAGGCGGGAAGCAAACATCAGGTTTTAATCTGCGAGCAGCTGAGATTGTGTCCCGATAGAACTGTCTGACTCTTCAGTAGAATGATTATTAAAGTAGGCTGTGTTTATAGAAAACACCCGCCGATGTGTGGAGCTGTCTGGTGCAGTGACACCCCTCTCTGTGTTGTTTCCTGCCCACACAATCACTCTGCTGAGATTGGGTCCCCTCTTGCTGCGCGTGATGACTGTGTTTGTTCATCCCAACAGTAGCTCACAGAAAGCAGTAGCTTCCCTCTAAGAGATCGTCTGCTCTGTCCCTGCTGCAGGTGAGAGGACATTCAAGTGTGACCAGTGTGATGCCACCTTTAAGAGGAAGGACACGCTCAACGTGCACATCCAGGTGGTGCACGACGGCCACAAGAAGTACAAGTGTGACCTGTGCGAGAAGGCCTTCGTCACACCCTCCGTCCTCAAGAGCCACAAGAAGGTGAGCGAACAGGGCTGCGAGTCAGACTGCTTCAATCGCACCGTGATTACATCAGCAGCCAGTCTCAAAGTGGGTTCGAATGGAATTCTGGTCGCATTTATCTGACAAGTTCAAACTCAAGAGTTATAAAAACAGCTCATGAAACTTTACTAAACTCTGTGTTTTGGTGGGAAAATCTCCTCAAATTCTAGAGCAAATCAGATTTTCCTTTACAGAAGAAGATCTAACAAGCTTGTCATCTGCACTTCCGTTGTTCTGTGTCCCTACTAGCTGCTGGTTTCATTCAAGCGACGTTGCAGACTTCAACAATATCTTGGTCTACGAAACCTGCTGGAGTCTTGCATCTCTCCTGTTGCTGCTTTATGAAATGAATTCCTTTATTGATTTGAAATGGCAGTCAGTCCATTAGCTCTGTGGGGTTTCAAAGGTTCGAACAGATCTCCGTGCAGATTATGAGCCCAAACTCTGACAGAAATATGGAACAAGACTGAAACCAAGCAGCTTGTTGGCACGCAGTAAAGGGAAATGACACAGAACAGTAGGACTGAAGACAGGCCCGCTGAGCCCGCGGTGTCTGCAGGCTGCTTGGATGCAGCCCTGATCAAAGTCAGGCTGCTGAGGGGTCGACACGTTTCTGGTGATGCTTACATGTGCAGGATCGCCCGCCTTTTGACCACACTGCTGTTGAAATCTTATTGGATGTGTGCAGAAACTCTTCTCCACAAGTAATCACACATCTGTATTACAACAAAAGAAGAATGAATTTGGTTGGTTTTCCACAAAAGGTGGGAAGTGAGACACGTATCTGTTGTAATTCAGACAAGTTTCCCTCCTTTCTCATCTAATGATCTGATAATTCTAAAGCCTCTATGGATTCCTTCTTTTGCTGACTTTTTTCTTCATGAAATGTCCAAAAACAAATGATTTATTTTACACACCAGGGAGATAACTCCCACACTCAACAAGGCTCAGGCTGCATTAACACTAGGTTTTCATGAAAATATTATTTAAAGGATGTTCTGAAGTTGTTCACAAGCATAAACGTCATCACCAGCCGCGTCCAGCGCTCCAGTCTGCAGGAACTTCTCACAAATCCTGTTGAAGTAACTGCAGCATGTAATATTAATGGTAGTGTAGAGGTATAGCAGTTTTTTGATTGAGGTGCTATGAAATTCAGGGTTTTGGGACGCTGAAAAGTCAACATTACAGTTTGTTCTATTTCGTCTAGTCTTAGCCCTTAAGCTAGCTGCTATTGGAAGGATGATCTCCGCATCAGCCAATCATGAAGAGCTAAAATGTACGCCCACCAATAGTGGGCCACCTCGTGGTATATAACTGCAGTGACCCCACTGCTCACCCCCTTTTTCTCTTCATGCCAAGCTTGAGAGCTTTATTAAAGAGCAAATATTATCCCAAAAGAGCAAAATTATCCGAAGACGACTTACCAGCCGTGTCCAGCGAAGCCAGACCCTGCCCGACCTGCCAGACGGGCTCCATTTCCAGCGGCGACCTGCACGCTAAGTGTGAGGTCTGTCTCGGGGCTCACCACGCTGGCCTGGCCTTGACCCCGCAGGCCTCGTGCCCGTTCTGTGCCGCTCTGCCCGTGGTGGAGAAGATTCGCCGGGTCGAGTACTTCACTCCCGCCGCCGACGAAGAATTTCCGGTCGCTGACTCGTACCCGCTGGACAAGGCTTTGGATTTCTTCGACGCCGGTCAGGAGCCGGCTGGCTTCAACCGGCTGGATGACGTCACCGACAGCAAAAACTACGATGAGGCGGCATCCCTCCTAGACATAACGGAGGTCGACGAGCTTCGCTCAGCGGGTCCTTCTGCCCCAGTGGCTTCTCGCTCCTCCCTGCCAGCTGTACGAGCACTGCTCCAGGAGCTGCCCGCCATCATTTCTGCGGCAGCAGCCCGCAAGGGGCTAGTTGTGCCAGAACCGGCCCCGCCTGAAGCGGATGATTTGGCGGGAATTTTCGGGGCGACTCAGACACGCTGTCCAGACCCTATCTGGCCGCGCTTCCCCGCTGCTATGAGCTGCTGGTCTGCCGCCTTCTCCGAGCCTGCCAAGCTCAAGGCGCCAGTCTCCACGTATGCGCCCATCACCAAGGTCGAGGGGTTTTCCGACCAAGGCTCGCCGTCCGTTCCTCCGCTAGAGCCGGACTTGGCCTCGCTGTACGGCGCCAAGAACCACCTCGCTGGCCCGCGAGCTGTTCCCACTTCAAAACATGACCAGCTGCTGACGTGGCTCACCGACCGCGCACATCAGTGTGCCTTTCAGACCGGCGCTGCAGGGAATAACATCGCCCTTCTTGCCTTTGGCGTCTCAAAGATGATGGAGGAGCTGGAAGCTCCCGAGGAGTCGAAAGCCATCATTACTAAGACTGCTGATGCTATCCTCAATCTGTGTGCTGCTGTGCTCACCGGTTCTGCTCGCATCGCTGCCTGGCAGACCCTCATCCAGCGAGCGATCTGGCTGAATGCCCTGCCCTCTATTCCGGAACATCTGCAAAGGGAGATGCTGGACGGCCCCATCACCACCGATGTTCTGTTTGGTCCCCATCTTAGGGGCATCATTGAGCGGGCTCAGAAGACAGCCGAACTATCGGCTACGGTGCGAGACCTGGTCCACCCTCGGTCAGCCTCGCACTTCGGCCGTTCAGCCAGAGGATGGGACGAACGGCGCGGAAGCTTCAGACGCCCAGCTGCACCGCCCGCTCCACGGAACCGGCCTCCCGCTTTGGCTCCACATCAGCGGGACCAGCGAGATGGCGGACAACGGTTCCGGCGGGGCCAGCAGACACAGTTTTGGCAGTCCCAAGTGCAGGAGCCTCGCCGAAAGCAGCCACGGAAGTGACTCTTTAGGGGGAATGTGTGTGTTACTGATTGTTCTGATGTTGTTGTTGGTTTTGAAATAAAACCCAAAAAATTTCACTCAAGAGCACAATCCTACAGTCCTCCGCAGAATCCTCTGCCGAGTTCTCACACATGTTCCCCACACCAAGCACTGCTGCACGCACACATGTTCCTGCAGGTACAGGCAGTCATAACACATGGCCAGCCGTAAGGGTGCGCTCCATTTGCGCTCCGGCCCCAACATCCGGCCAGGCCCAACTCTCCCGCTCTCCCCACTCCGTTGGGTGGGGCGGGATGTCAGGTCGCTGTCTCGACCACACGCGGCGGCACAGTGCGCGGCTCCATCCGCTGGCACTCTGTCGCCCCCGTGCACGGGCCCGGCTCCCACTCGTCCTTCACTCTCGGACTCCACGCTCCACATTGTGGACCAGCCTGTTCCAGCTGTTTCGCACTTGCCCTTTCGAGCGCAGCCCTCCATGGGTCGCCCCCAGTTCTCTGGTACGGGCGACGGCGGTAAGGGCGCATGCACAACCCTCGGACGTTGTTCACGTGACCGCGCACACGCGTCCACTGTCGGAACGCGCGCACGAGTGGCGCCGCCTTTGTATCATGAGCAAATGGATTTCGGACACCATTCATTGCGGTCACACACTTCGTTTTCAGGCCACTCCACCTCCCTTCAACGGGATTGTGGAGACGACGTTCATATCGCAATTACAGTCTCAGGCGCTAGAGCTGGAGCTGCGGGAACTTCTGTCCAAGGACGCTATTTCCCGAGTCCCTCGCGGACAAGAACTCTCGGGCTTCTACTCCCGCTACTTCGTAGTACCGAAGAAGTCGGGAGGAATGAGGCCGATTCTCGACCTGTCCCTGTTCAACTGCTCCATAGCAGTAATGCATTTCCGCATGTTAACGATGAGACAAGTCCTGGAATACGTGCGCCCCTGGGATTGGTTCGCGTCAATCGAACTGAAAGACACATACTTCCACATACCAGTAGTTCCAAACCACCGGAAGTTTTTGCGTTTTTCGTTCAAGGGAGTTCAATATCAGTTCAATCGCCTCCCTTTCGGCTACTCGCTAGCCCCGCGCACCTTCTCCAAATGTCTGGAGACCGCGCTGCAGCCACTGCGCACGGAGGGAATGAGGGACTTATTTTACCTGGACGATCTTCTCCTGTGCGCTCGGTCCAAGGACGAGGCGTCACAGCAAACCAGGAGGTTGACAGAGCATCTGTCAACCCTAGGGTTTTCTATAAACTGGGAGAAGAGCTCCATCCTTCCATCCCAGTCGATTGTGTATCTCGGGGTGGAGTTGGACGCCTCCCTAATAGAGCACGTTTGTCGCCTGCAAGAGCGGCAGATCTCTCCACGGTGATCTCCCGTGTACAACCCCGCAAGATCGTGAGAGCCCTGTTAGTCATGAAACTCCTGGACATGATGTCCGCAGCCCATTCGGTGGGACCGCTAGGTTTGCTGCGCACGAGGCGCTTGCAACGCTGGTTCATCCGCCTCCGAGTACACCCGATACGTCAGAAGAGACGTATGTTGAGGATTCCCTCTTCAGTGGGCGGGGACCTCGCTCACTGGGGGAACCCCTGCATCCTCTCACGCGGGGTTCCCATCGGACGTCCTGCGTCACACGTATCTGTGTTTACGGATGTGTCACTGTTGGGGGGGGGGGGGGGGGGGGGGGCACGTGCTTGTCCCATACGGTGGCAGATCGCTGGCCCTCCCACACGCACGAGCACATGAATGTGTTGGAGCTTATGACAGTGAGGAATGTGATCAGACACTTCGCCGCCCTTCTCGAGGGCCGTCATGTCGAAGTTCACACAGACAACCAGGTGGCGGCAGCCTACATAAATCGCCAAGGGGGAGTTTGATCCCTCCCACTGTTGCGTGTCGCCACAGATTTACTGTGTTGGACACATGTCCATCTGCTGTCCATCAGAGCCATCTACTGAATGTAGCGGCGGACATCCTGTCGAGAGGGGGACCCTGCGACTCCGACTGGCGTCTGCATCCCGCACTGATATCACAGATCTGGATCAGGTTCGGGGAACCGTCTGTGGATCTGTTCGCGGCTCGCGAAAACGCTCAGTGTCGCCTGTGGTTTTCCCTGAGTCCCCGGGACGGACCCCC